GACCACTGTAGGGTTAAGGATCAGACGATCGAAGTCGCTGTCCTTTGGAACCCTGAAAGCTCCACAAGCTTCATCCCAGGCGAGGTCCGAAGCGGGAGTCAGGTAGAGAGCGCCGCAGGCGTCCCACTTCTGGAGCAGGGCCCACAGCTCAGCGCGGTCCATATGGACACGTGCACCCTTCTGGCCTGAAGGCCACTCTGCCGACGGCAGCCGCATCACCTCGGGGTCGAGGAACGCCTCGCGCACACGCGCGTCGGAGAGGAAGGGAGTGGGATCGAACTCGGGCGAGTAATCCCACTTGATGCGGGAGGCCCGGACCTTGAGGTCGAAGGGCTCGGCTTGGGTGGGGTCCCAGGCCGCCGCAGAAGCCAACGAACCAGGCACGGGCGGAGCGCTGGTCGGGCAGTGCCGCATGGGGGCAGGCACGGAAGAGGAGGAGGTGAAGGAAACCTCAAGAGCTACGACATGGGTGGCCAGGCCATGGAGCGAGACTTCGGTGGAGTCGAACTTGGCGAAAGCCCGACCAAGGTCGCTCTTGCCACCGCGGGCAAGGCGAACTGCGATCCGACACAACCGCTCAATGCGGGAGCGAACGCCCTCCTGGCAGGGCGAGGCCGTGGCGCGGACTCGGGCTTCGGCGGGAGCGAAGCTAGGGTGACCCAGCGTGAGCCAGTTCAACGCAATAACGGAATACTGCGCAAGAGTCCGTGCCGCGCGCCTGAGCCGCCAACGCTCCCTGCGCCTCGCTGACAGACCATCAGGCGGGGGACCAAGAGGTGGGGCAGGCGGACACGGCCAAGGATCGCGGGGAGGCGGCCCCAAAAAGTACGGGTCGTCCCGATCCAACGCACGCAAAGATGAGCGGGAGAATGAGCCCAGTGAACAACGAGCACCCATCCCGACCTGAGACAGCGCAGCTGCCCAGTGGGTGATATCGATGTTTGCGCCAGGAAAAAGACGCAGCAAGGAAGACACGTCAGCGACAAAGGGCGCGACTTTAGCAAGGGCAGCGGGGGTGCACGCGACAGGACGCGCGCCAGCAAGGACACCGCTCTCAGGGGCTGCACACCCCGTGCGGGGGGAGCTCGACTGAGGGCAGTGGTGGCCAAAATGGCCGGGTGGATACGAGGGGCGGCTCGGAGCGAAGCGAGAGGCGTGATGGCGGAACGAACTCCTCCCTGCGGGGCCGCACCAGCATCGCTGGAAGAGCGCATTCCTACCCTCACGGCCTCGCTGCGCCCAAGCGCGCCTAGCAGCCGCAGCAGCGTCAGCACGGACTGACTGCGGCGCTGAACCTCGGCCACTGGAGGCAGCTCCCTCGCAGGTGACGGGCAGCAGCGGCCCCGTCACTGCTTCTGGGGTGGCACCTTCGGTACCTTGGGAGGCACCTTTGGAGTCCTGGGCTGCTTGGGTACGTGAGGCGGCTGCTGGGGAAGCGCGGCGGCGCGCTCGGCGTCGAGGCGCGTCCGAAAAACCTGCAGCTCCTTCATGTACTCGCCCTGCGCGGACAGCCAGCGGAAGTCCACGAGGGGTGAAAACGGGGACTGCGCCTCGCGCTCCGTGTGCTGACTGGTGACGCGACATGGAGTGGGCTCCACCCCCGTGAGGAACCATGCGGCCTCTAGGCATCCGCGTTCCCCTCCTGCTGATCGATGAACATGCACTGGCAGGTCAGCAGCGTCTGAACCCCGAGCGGGTCTCGCACGGCGGGACCGTGCTGCGCCAAGGTAGCATGCCAAGCGCGCCGCCGTGCGATCCCCCGCATCTGAGTGGACGAAGAGTTGAGGTCGCCCGAAGATGCGGACGGGGCCTGAGCGTAGTCGCTCAGAAACCCCAGTAGCGGATGAGCTGCTGGGCGGGAGCCCCGCCCCTGCTGCAGGGCTAGGGCTGGAGACTGATGCAAGCACATCAGCGCCATGCTGAGGTCCGACTGGGGAGCCGCAGGAGGCGGGTCCACGGCGTCCGCGCCGCCCGCCTCGGCGAAGCCGCCGACCGAGGCAAGGTCGTGTTGCCCAGGCGGAGGCGCGGGGCCCAGCGGCGAAAGGCTTTGCTGATGGCCTTGGGGTGGCCAGGGGCAATGCAGCCATCCTGTCGGCCACGTCAGCCAGGTCCGAAGGAACCCCGAGCGACCGCGGCAGGTCGTGAGCGCTCGAATGACCCGCTGAGTCTGACAGGGGCGCGGGAAGGTCGCCGCGAACCCTGGGCGCCCGCAGCACGTCGCGTGGACTCGAGCAGATAGCACCGCTCGTAGGAGACACGAAGGCGGCCGGCGACGCGTCGAGTCGGCGCAGAGAAGAAGGGCACCGAACGTGGGCTGACGACGTCCCGTTGCCAACGCGGGACGCGCCCGCGCCACATGGAGTAGGATTTCGTGCACCTGACACGTCGACCCCGCTCGCGGGACAGGTCGGCGGCCAGAGCCCGCCCGGGTCGCCCGTGCAGCCGAACTCAGAAGTAGACTCTGCCAGCACCGACGCTGTGTCGGGCGGGGGCGTGGGGGGGTCCCCATGCACCCCGAGCGACCGCGGCAAGTCGCAAGTGCCCGAGCCCGCAGCACCGCGCGAAGGCACAGCGGCGGCGGGTGGAGGAGTAGCCTGGCAAGCAGCCGCAACGAGAACCCCCCGTGAAACAGCGGCATCGGCGGCTGACGCCATCGCATATGTCCTCATGTGGGGCGGCAGGGCTGACAAGGATGAGGCTGGATCCCCGAATAGCCCGAGCGAGTGCAACAAATCGCGGGCGCCCGCACGCGGGGATGGACCACTGGCGGCGGGCGCGCCGACACCACCCACGAGGCTGGTAGGCGGTGGGAGCCCTCCGAAATCACCATACCAACCCAAGTCACGGGCAGCGCACGCCCAAAGTGAGGCGGGATCAACAGCGTTACGGTGGAGCGACGGGAGCGCCTCTGGGTCGGCGAGACCTGGCGGCGGCCCCGCCCGCCCGGCTTGGAAGGGCGATCCACCACCGACGAGAAACGACTCCGCGGGCGTGCACGGACTGATCGCAGGCGGCACCCGAGCGCCGGCCTCCATGCCGGAGAAACGCGGAAGCGATTCCACACGCCACACATCCGGCTCCAACGGCGCGACCAAACCGGGTGGCGGACGAGGAGGCAACCCCGTCGGAACCCGTGGCGACGGCGGCCTTCGCTCGGCAGCCGATGGAGGGCCAAGGCCCGGAGGGGGGCCGATACCCAATTCGGCGAGGCCTGGGGGCGGCAGGGGACGCCTGCCCTGCAGCGTCGGCGGCGGGAGGGTGCAGATAAGGGGCACACCGCGCTGAACGTCAAAGGCGCTCGCCAACAAAGCGGGTGGCTCAGCTGATGACGCGTCCCACCAGGACGAGGACAGGCCCGCCGCGTCGGTGCCTGGAACCCGGAAGGCCGCGCGAAGCGGCCACTCGGTGCCCGCTGAGCAAGCGGGGCCCCGGTCGAGCCATGGCGTTGTGAGGGGGGGAGGGGAGTGAGTGAGGAGGTGGAGGTTAGCAGGACTCTCCTCCTCCCATTCCCCCGTCCCCAAGGCGGTTCCCTTCGCGCGCTCTGCCTCCTCGCCCGCGGTTCGGCGGGCGTGAGGCTGGCTCAGAGTTGCAGTGGGCTGCGGGCGGTGCGTACTGCGCGGCGGTGGCTGGTGGGGCGCGAGCAGTAGACCGTTCCTCCCTCTGGCGGCTTGTTCTTCGCTGCGGAGACCCAGGTCTTCAGCCTCCTCGTACCCCTCCTCGTCCTCGTCGTTTCCCCCCGCCTCGATGGAAGAAGAAGAGGGAGGCGAGGGGAGGAAAGGCGGGAGCTTTTGGGTTCGCGTCGCTGAGGCAGCGCTCCGCTGAGCAGTCTCGTTGCGAGAGCGCCTGCCGGCGAGCGGTCGCGCGGCAGCAGCTGTAGCAAAGGAGCGTAGGTCGGGCCAGATGGGACCTCCGCCGACAAGCGGATGCGCCATCCAGGCGGCCAGAAGGGAGAGGAAGAGCAGAGCGTGCGCGAGCGAGCGCGAGCGAGCGAAGCTCGCGCGGAACGGCTCAGGAGGACCGTCCGAGGGGCTCGGCCCCGCGAGGCGGTGAGGGCCGCCTCGAGCTGAGCGCGGCGCGCTGAGCGGGCGCCGACGAAGGCACCGACCCCGGGACGCAGGGCCCGAGCCCTGTCGAGCGCCTGGGCTCCTGGCCCGCAAGCAAGCGCTCGGGCCGCGCGGCGGTCCTGCTCGAGCGGAGCAGGCGCCGCACCGCGCGGCCAGGCGAAGGGCCAGAGCCTCCGCCACAGGCACGGGCCCAGCAGCCCGGAGCAGCAGCCTGCGCAGGCGCTGCACGCGGCCGTCACCCAGAGGAGGGCAGCGACCGTCGAGAGCAGCCGGGGAGAGGCCCCGCTGCTCAACTCCACCGCCTGCCCGAGGCAGACGGTGGGACAGGCAGAGCCCGCCGAGGGGAGGGGGCAAACGGCCCCCTCACCCCCAGGCGGGTCTGCCTGTTGGGTGGACCAGGCGGTAGCGGAGGCCCCTGGTCCTGAAGCACAGAAACGGGGGCGGCGACGAGCCGCTCGCAGAGCGCGGCCCGCACCCCCCGAAAAAGAATGTCCCCCGCGCCCTGGAGAGCCACCTACGCGATCGCCTGCATAAGGCGCCCGCGCGCGCGGCCGAGGGGGGCGCTTTGGGGCTGAGAAGCTGCAGAGACAGCAAGAGCGCGGGTCGCAAGGAGAATAGAGAGGAGCATGACGCCCTCCTCAGAGAAGGCATCCTCCGGGGTCTGCAGCCTCCCGGGCACACTCCTCAACTCGGGGGCGCGCGAACATGGATTGGCGATCCATGGATTTGGCGCGCGGTCGCCGAATCCATGAATCGGGGGAGGTGCCCTCCCCAAAATGCGGCCGGTGCCGCCTCGCTCGGCGGCGGAAGGCTGCGATGTCCCATGGAAATGGGATCCGCCGCCAATCCACGCCCCCTTGATCCATGTCTGCGATCGCCTGATCAACGAGCGCACCCCCGCTCCCGAGCGCCAACGGATTGCCGGGTCCCCCAGTCCTCGTCGTCCTCGTTGCCCTCGGCATCGGCGTCGCCGTCCTGAGGAGAGAGCCCGGCGCCTCTCTCGGACCCTCCACGGGCGTCCGCCTCCGCCTCCCCCCTCTCCCTCTCCCTCTGTATATGTTTCTTTCCCTTTCCCTCTCTTTCTCTCTCGTTCTCTTCTCTCTCTCTCTCTCTCTCTTTTTCTCTTCTTCTCACCTCTCTCTCCCTCGTTCTCTCCATCTCCCTCCCTCTCCTTCTCTCTCTCTCTCTCTCTCTCTCCCTTCCTCATTTTCTCTGCCCTACTCCCTTCCCTCCTGCCGGATACGGGTGGCACGAAGACGAAATCAGGCTATACTACGCCTCGGCGCTGGATGAGGAGCGAGCGAAACTCCCTCGTGAAGCTGGGCACTCGTGCCCCCCGTCCCCCTGTGCAGATGGGGGGTCGGCCCCCCCAAAACCTAGTCGTTCAATCTATTGTTCGTCGTCGTCCTCCTCCTCCTCGTCCTCGTCCTCCTCATCGTCCTCTTCCTCGTTTTCTTCCACCTCCTCATCCTCCTACTACCCTTCGTTTTCCTTCTCCTCTTCCTCCTCCACCTCCCCCACCTCCTCCTCCTCCTCCGCCTCCCCCACCTCCTCCTCCTCCTCCTCCTCCTCCGCCTCCAAATCCTCCTCGCCCTCCTTATCGGCCACCTCCGCTCCCTCCTCCCACTCCTCCTCATCCACCTCCTCATCCCACTCCACCCCACTCCTCCTCCTCCTCCTCCTCCTCCTCCTCCTCCTCCTCCCTCCTCCTCCTCCTCCTCCTCCTCCTCCTCCTCCTCCTCCTCCTCCTCCTCGTTTCCTTCCCGTCACTGCCGAGGGGACCAGCAGGAAAGCTGGTGCCGCTGCGCCCTGGGCCCGCCGACCAGGAGCCCAGGGCGCGCTGGTGCTGCTGCGCCGCGACGCCACCGCCTGCCGCTGCCCGCCGCGCACCTGGCCGCCGCCCGTGCTGCCCGCGGCCGCAGCCTGGCACGCACCACGCAGGAGGAGGAGGAGGAGGAGGAGGAGGAGGAGGAGGAGGAGGAGGAGGAGGAGGAGGAGGAGGAGGAGGAGGACCCCCTCCGCGCGGGCCGGTGCATGCTGCAGGGAGCCTCACCTGCGGTCCTGCAGCAGGGGGTGCGGCCAGCGCGCGGTCCTCGCCTCGGCCCAGCACGCACGGACTCGCGCACGCGTGGCGCCTCGTTGGCGGGCCCCGCTTGCGGCCCCTGCAGGGGGCGCGAGCGCGCAGCCCCCGCCTCGCCTCGGCACACCACGGCTCGTGCCTCGCAGGAGGCCCCACGAGCGGCCACGGCGGGGGACGACCCGCCGCTGGCACCCGGAAGGTGCACCACGGCACTCTGGCCCGGCACCGGGCCCACGGCCTCCGAGCCCCGTGGGGGCCCGAGAGCAGCGACGAGTCCTCCGGGGCCCGCTCCCCTCGGGACCTTTCTCCTCCACGGAACGAGCCGCGCCTTCGGCCCAAACGGCGCCGTCGGCGGCAGCGGGGAAACCAAACCGCACCAATGCTGCGGCGGCGCGGGCAAGCCCGGGGCGCACCCAGCCGCGGCGACGCGGGCTTCCCAGGAGGTCCAAGAAGGCGAAAGCGGTGCCGGGGTCGCGGAGTTGGCATCGGTACCTTCGGCTTCAGGCAGGGAGCGACTCTGGGCGAGAGTGACGTCTGGCGCGCGGCGTCCTGGGGGACTCGGGGTGGCCAAGCCCGAGCGCGCAAGCCTCTGCTGGCACTTCGCGTTCCTCGATCGGGGGACCCCACCGGTCACTCTGCCACAGGGCTGGACCTAAACGGTGTTATTCGTTTCCGTTTTGTTTTCGTTTCCCTTTATTACCTCAAAACGAAGTCGAGACGAAAACGGACCACGACATCGCCAAAAACACCGTGCAGGTCCGGCCCTGCTCTGCCACGCGGCGTCGACGGCGGCTTCCCCCCGGCGCCGTCGACCGCCATGCGCCGCTGCCGCCGCCGCCGCCGCTCCCTGCGCACCCCCGGCTCTGCGCGTGCGCCCCCGGGCAGCAAGCACCGAGGAGGGGGGTCCTCCGCGGCGCGGGCGCCCTCGGGGCGGGCGCGGCGGAAGTCGCCCATGCCGGCCTGCGGGCCGCACAGGGGGGGGGAAGGGGAGCGAGGATCGCCGCGGAGCGGACGGGGCCTCGGGGCCCTCAACGGGCCCCAGGGCCGCCGAGGAGGCGGCTCGGGACGGCCCAAGGGGGGGGGAAAGCCCAGGGGGGTCGAGGAGCTGCCAGCCTCACGCCAGGAGGAGGACCCAGACCCCCGACGTCGTTATTTTTTTTTTCACTGCGTCGACCCCTGGAAGTCTCGACCCATTCCCCTGATCCGGTTCTTCACCCCGAGTCGTTTTTTTGACGGTCCCGAGGGCCTCTAAGGGCCCCCGAAGACTGAAAATAGCAAAACACCTCCCGTCGTGATTGTTTCGTTACCCCCGAGGGGGGAGGAGGAGGGAAGGGGGGGGAAGAGGCAGCGGGACGAGAGCCGGAGAGACGAGGGGTGGGGGCAGGAGGGGGAGGACGAAGCCTTCGGCTCGACCGCCCTGCGGAGGAGGCCCGTGCCCGGCCACGAGGGGCCGTCCAGAGACCGAGCTAAGCGAGGGTTCCCCCCCACGTCCCACCCCGCTCTGTCCTCCTCTCCTCCTCCGTCCGTCCTCCCTCCTAGGCCCAAGGTCTCCTCCTCCTCTCCTCCTCTCCTCCTCCTCTCCTCCTCCTCCTCTCCTCCTCCTCTCCTCCTCTCCTCTCCGTCCTCTCCTCCGCTCCGTCCTCTCCTCCTCCTCCTCCTCTCCTCCTCCTCTCCTCCTCCGTCCTCCCTGGCCCAAGGTACCTCTGGGATTCTCGGGGTGGCCCAGGCGGCCTCCAGGGGCACCCCTCACGAGGCCCAGGGGGCCCCAGGGGGCTCCAATATGGAGCGAAAAGCTGGGGGCACCTTGGGCCAGGGGCACTTCTAGCAACACCCGACTCCTCGAGGAAGGTTGGCGGGCTCGCGGATCTGCACGCCTTGGTGACTCCTCGCCACCGTTCGGACGCCCGCTCCTCCTGTACGCTCCGATGACGTGCACGGTGCTTCCCCCCAGGATGATCCGAGATGCTCCTCGATGGTTCTCGGCGACGGAAAGGAAAGGCACACGTCCGAGCGGCGCCACGACCCGCGACGAGCAGCCGACTCTCCACGAGCGCCCACGCCGAGGCTGCCCCCGTGGCCCGGGGGCGGCATCGCACGGGCGGGCGGTGGGGCAGAGGGCGCAGGCGCCGCCTCGCTCCGCGCCCTCCCCCTGCGAACCTCGGCCTGCCACCCCCCTTCGCCGCCAGACGCGGCCCCTCCTCTCCCGCTCCCTCCTGACTTCAAGTCGGGATTTTCGAGGAAAAATAAAAAATACACTACAAAGAATCAACAAATAATCAAAACATAGTCTGGGGACTATGTTTTGAGTATGTTTTGCCTTTTTGGTCTATTTTTGGGGCTTTGTTTCGGCGAAAATCCCCCTGTAGGGGACAGGCCCGATATTATCCTGACTCGTCCCCTCCTTTTTCGATCGGAACATGTGCCTCCCGAGCGACGCGCGCGAGGCGCAGGCGCGCCCGCGGCTCGAAGCGCTCGGCGGCGCGCCGGACGAGCGACGGGGCGGCCAAGGTTCATGGGGGAACCCGAAAGGTACCCCCGTACCCCTGCTCCCTGGGCCTTCTCGGGGGTGCGTCGTGCACGGGATGCCGCAGCGCGAATCCGGCGGTGGCGACGAGGGCCGCCCGGGAGGCCCGAGAGGAGGACGAGGAGGAAACGGGGCAGCGGCATCGCCGCCTTGGGATCCTCCGAGGCAAAGCCCCTCCCCCCGTCTCCAGGAGACGCCAGTGAAGCGGTCTGCGCCCCCTTCAGGTCGAGTCTGTCCTGCTTCAGGGGGATTGGGGCGAAAACTTGAAAATACTGAAGACATACTCAAAACATGCTCCTTCTTTTTATATTAAAAACAATCGTCCCCAAACTATTTCCTGTTCCTCCTGTAGCAAGGGCTCCTAAGTTCGCGCTTCGCGCTGCGCGAAGCGCGAAGCGCGAATAACTTCGCGCTCTCGCGCCGCCCCCCAAGGAGGAGAAGAGGAGGACGAGGAGGAGGGGGAGGAGGAAGGAGGACGGCGAAGCGCGAAGCGCGAATAACTTCGCGCCCTCCTGGGAGCCCTTGCTGTAGAGGGACCGGCCCGACTTACGCCACCTGCACCCCGCGCGCAGCACAGATGCCCGAGAGGGGCTCCGCAAGCAGCAGCCCTGCGGGAAGCTCCAGCGGGCCTCCCCGCCTGGCGGGCGGGCCCCCCCCCAAAATCTAGGGTGACTGCTCCTGTCGGGAATGGAGAGACCCCCATGTAGTAAAACGTGGATTAGTGAAAACGACCTGAGGCCCAAACCTTGCGGGCGCAAGCCTGGACAATAATGGCCACGGCGCCCTCTCGAGAACCGAAAACGGACAATCCACTAATCGACGTGTCACTGTTGGGGGTTATGTCCACTCCCGATCCTGAGGCTTATCCTCAGAAGTCCTCATAAGAAGCGAACGGGCTTGCTGACGATGTCCTGAGCGTGTCGATGTCCTGGCGATGTCCTCACGAAGCTGCATGGCGACGAACACGCTGGCAATCCTGAGCATGTCATCCGGAATATTGTGAGCAGCTCTGCAAGAAACACAGCACGGATTTGCGGACGATGTCCTCAGGAGCCCGAAGAACTCCCGAAGGCATCCCTTTGGTTTGCTATGGAATCCTATGGGTTTGCCTTGGACTCCTCAAGTTTTGCCCGAAGATCCGAACATTCTCTTGAGGAGAAGTGAGGACTCCGAGGGTTCTCCGAAGGAAAAAAATATAGTGGAATCCCAGGGATGGTCCCTGGAACCCTGAGATCGCCCCAGAGCAATCCTGGAGACCCGCTCCAGGATCTTGACGACGCGATGCAGGATCTTGCAGAGCTCTCCCAGGACCTTGGACTCCTGAAGAGTTCCTGCGGGGTCCTGTGGCTTCTCTGGGATACCCCAACGACTCGGCGGTGGACAAACCTCCCTTTAGTAAACCACCCTTTAGTGAAAAAGGCGTAGGACCGAAACCGACGGACCTGGACCCGCAGAAATAACGGCCGCGACGCCCTCTCGCTGACCGAAAACGGCCAATTCCTGAATCGACGTGTCAGGGTAGGAGGTCCATCAACCTCCGAACGACCGTGCGCGGCTCGCGCTGGGCCCCGCACTCCGGCGCCTCCAGGCGCCACCCGTCGCGGAGCGAGACCCCCCGCCGATGCGACGCGGCCGCACCACCTCCGCGCGAGGCCCGCGCTGGCGCGGGCTTCGCGCCCGGTCGCGCTGGCGCGGGCAGCACCCCCACCGCGGGGCGAGCTCTCCGCAGACGGGCCGCGGGGCGAGGCCCCCGTGTGGGACGCGGCCCGCTGGGCCTGCCCAGGCGGGCGCGCGCGGGGGGGGGGGCTGGGATCCTGGCCGCGCTCGCGCACCTGAGCATCCCGCCCAAGGGGCGGGCGCTGCCCCGAGGGAAAAAAAGGTCACCTCCTCCTCCTCCTCCTCCTCCTCCTCCTCCTCCTCCTCCTCCTCCTCCTCCTCCTACTCCTCCCCTCTCTCCTCCTCCTCTCCTCCTCCTCCTCCTCCGCCTCCTTGTCCTCCCCCTCCTACTCCTCCTCCCCTCCTCCTCCTCCTCCCCCTCCTCCTCCTCCTCCTCCTCCTGATGCGAGGGTGGGATGCGTGCGCGCGCTCTCCTGCATGATGGCCGCGGATCAGACCGAAGACCGAGGACTGGTTCTCGAAGCGAACCGGCCGAACCAAGACCGGCCATCGACCCGAACCAGCCGAACCGAACCGGACCAAACCGGCCGAACCAGACTGGGTGGGGCTATCGGGCCCCTATCGGCGATTAGGAGTCGACTAGGAGTCGTTGCGCCCACCTCTGTTCGGCTACACGCAAGGGTGACCGACCCTAGGCGAGAATGACCTTTGATGCGGGCTTTCTGGGGAACAGCGCGGGGGGGCTCAACCCAAGCGCGCAAGACGCAACTATTGCATCGCATTCGGCGATCGGGAAACCGAATTGGGTCCGCATCAAAGGTCACTCTGGCGGAAGGTCACTCTGATGTCTAGTCGACCTGTGCCTACGGCAGGTTCGCGCGGCGTCGGCGCGAGGAAAGGTTGCTGCCACCGCGTCGATCGTTCACCCTGGAACCGATCGCGGCCCCGATCGGTCAAGGTGGAATCCCGTCGGGTCCTGTGGCGTCACTGTGCCCCTCAATGCTCCCGCGCCGCTCCATCGCGCGGAACTCAACCTGGAACGCCTTCGCTGGCGTCGCTGGCGCGCCCTCGCCGCATGCACCTGCCGCGCATCCCCCAGACCCCCGACGTCGTGATTCATTCATGACGTCGACCCCTGGAGGTCTCGACCCACTCCCCTGGACCGGCCTTTCATCCTGAGTCGTTTCGTTGACGCTCCCGAGGGCTGGTGAGGGCCCACAGAGGCGGAAATAACAGAAAAAACTCTCGTCCTGATTTTTGTCATTGCCCGAGAAAGTCTGGGCCCCCTGCCTCATCGCTGTCCCTGACCCCCCTCCCTGAGCAGGGACCGACCGTCCCGGCATTCTCATAGGCCTACCACGAAATCTTCTTAGAGCCCGAACCTGTTTTCAGGACATAAACGATGTTCTGAGAACATGGACCCAACATGTTAAGACAAAACAGCCCCGGCCAGAAATGTTCCAGGAACATTTCGCGCAGACCACAGAAGAGGTGCTTAGAACATTCCTTGGTGGGCCTCTGGGCACGCCAGGACGCTTCGCCACTGCGTGACGCCCCCCTCCCCTCCCCGCGCCTCCCGCGCCCACTCTGCGACATCCGCCCCCCGGCCTGCCGCCCCTGGCCGCGCCGTGCACTCGCCGGCGCCTCGACAAAAGCAACGCTTCGACGCCAGCAGCAGCGGGCATCGCAGAAGCCCCCCGCCCGCCCAGGGACCCAGACACCCCACGCCTCGATGTTTTCGAGACGCGGGCCTCCGACCTCCCGACCACTTCCCCGGGACCAGTTTCTCACCTCGCGTCGTTTGTTGACGGTCCCGAGGCCCGGCGAGGGCCCCGAGAGGCCAAAAACTGCGACAAAAAACCTCCGTCTCGACTTTCTCGAGACGCCCCAGGTCTGGGCCTCCTTCCCCGGGGCCGGCTTTGCACCCCGAATCGTGTTTTTGAGGGCCCCGAGGGCCGGTAGAAGGGCCCCCGAAGGCCGACAACGGCGAAACACCTCGCGACGCGAGGTTTTTCGCCGTTGTCGGGGGTCTGGGTCTGGGGCCTGCAGAGTGGGCCCTGGAAACGACAGGGCCGTTTTTGCACCGGTTCCGTTTTGCCGTTTTTTCCCGACTCCGACGCCGTTTTTTCACCGGTTCCGTCGCCGTTGTTTGACCGGTTGCGACGTCCAGTTCCAATCCGGGAGCCGTTTTTGTGCCGTTTCCGGTCGCCGTATATTTGCCGTCTCCATGTTCGAAGGAGATTTTTTTGGAAACGGGGGGAACAAAAAAGAGGCCCGCCGCTTCCGGGGCCCACAAAGGTCCGGGGCCGACAAAAAAGGTCTGGGGGCTCCTAGAGGCCTCCTAGATGGGGTCCGAGTAGATGGGGTCGAAGGATCTCGCCGCATCGCCGATACATCGGCGATGCATCGGCGATGCATTGGCGATGCATCGGCGATGCACCGGCGATGCATCGTCGACGTGGGCGATGCATCGGCGCAGTCGACGTGAAGCAAATCGGGCCCTACATCGAGCCGCATCGGCGATACATCGGCGATGCGGCGCGATCCTCCGACCCCATCTACTCCGACCCCATCTAGGAGGCCTAGATCTCCTCCCCCTCCTCAGTCACTCAATTCGTGAGAGAAGCTCCCCTCCGCGCACCCCCGCGCGCGCCGCGCCTGCCGCACCTGCGGGGGCGCCCGGCCCGAGGTACCCCCGGTTTTTCGCTCCATTTTTGGGCCCCTGGGACCCTCTGGACCTCGTGAGGGGTGCTCTGGACCTCGAGGGGGTCTGGGCCTGGGGGGGATAGCACCGCCCTCCCCTCCGCGCACCCCCGCGCGCGCCGCGCCTGCCGCACCTGCGGGGGCGCCGCCGGGGCGCCCGCCCCCGGCGGCCCGCCCGCGAGGGCCCCGCCGCCGGGCTCCTCGTGGGGCGGGCCGGGGCCGGGGCGGTGGGCGCGAACGCGGGGTTTCCAGAGGAGGAGGCGGAGGAGGGGGAGGAGGAGGAGGAGGAGGAGGAGGAGGAGGAGGAGGAGGAGGAGGAGGGGGAGGAGGAGGAGGAGGGGAGGGAGGAGGGGGAGGAGGAGGAGGAGGAGGAGGAGGAGGAGGAGGAGGAGGAGGAGGAGGAGGAGGAGGAGGGGGAGAGGGGAGGAGAGGAGGAGGAGGAGGGGGAGGAGGAGGGAGGGGGGAGGAGGGGGAGGAGGAGGAGGAGGAGGAGGAGGAGGAGGGAGAGGAGGAGGAGGGAGGGGGAGGAGGAGGAGGAGGAGGATGGAGGAGGAAGATGGGCGCGGACGCCTCGCGGGCCCTTCAGAGAGCCCCAGGAGGCCACAGGCGACGACGACGACGACGACGACGACCCAGACATTCGGCTCCTCGGAGAAATCGAGGCGGAAGTTTTTCGTCATTCTTGGCCTCTCGGGGCCCTCGCCGGGCCTTGGGACCGTCCACAAACGACTCGACATCCCGGGGAAGTGGTAGGGAGGTCGGAGGCCCGTGTCTCGAAACAATCGAGACGTCGGATGCATGGGGACGACGACGGCGCGTCTTGGAAGGCGGCGGCCCCGCACCTGTAGACAAGGCCCGGGCCTGCTAAGAGGGGGGGGGGCTTCCAACACGCCTTCCTTCCTCCCCCCACCCCTCTGCGCTTGTGTCGGGCGTGTCCCCCCACAGGAGGACTTTCGACGAAAAATACAAAATGCCCCAAACATACCCCACAAAGGTCAACAAAAATGCAAAAAAATAATCCCCAGACTATTTTGGGACTATCTTTTCACTATTTTTTGGGAGTATGTTATATTTGTTGTCGAAACTCCCCCTGCAGGGGGACACGCCCGACGGAACTCTGCGCGCGGCCCACGGAGGGCAGGCCGAGGGCCGAGGCCCCGGGGCCAGCCCTTCGCGCCGCGCTCCGCCGCGGCGACGAGAGTCCTAAGGGAGACGGCCACAGAGCTCATCGACGACGGCGACGACGACGACGACGGCGACGGCGACGGCGACGGCGACGACGACGGAGACGACGACGACGGCGACGGCGACGCCGACGACGAGGATAGCGATGGCGACGGCGACGACGAGGAGAGGCGGAGGCGGCGAGGCTGGCCGTCGAGGCAGCCCGGCCCTGACGTGCTGGCGCCGGGAAGAGAGGCACGGCACGCGTGTGCTTGCTCGCTTCCCCCTTGCTCCGGCGGCGAGGGCGAGATCGGCCCCGAGGAGAAGGGTCGGGGCGTCCGGGGGGCCTCGTGTAGGAAAAATCATCAGGAGTCGCACATCTGGAAGAATCGGGTCGGGCGAAAGGGGGGGAAAGCAAAGGGGGGGTTTGAGAAGCAGCTCACGCAGCTGATTTTCCTGGCGCCTCCCGGCGCCGGGAGGCGCCCAGGTATCGAGGAATGGGCCCGGCGGCGGGCCCGAAACCAGCTGCATGCCGCAAATGTCGTAACCCCCCCTTTCCCAAACCCCCCCTTTCGCCCGACCCGAAAGAAACCTAGACCCTTTTCCACAGAGCCGTCTTTGAAATCCCGGGTCGTCTGTGGACGGCCCGAAGGCCCAGAAAAAAGGGCCCCACATGGGCCGAACGCGGCCGAACATATCCCGTCGTGCTCTTCTTTGCGACGCGAAGGAGTTCGGGTGGGTTAGCTCCCTGGCCTCACCTCGAGCTCAAGCCTCCATGGGCCCTTCAATAGTTTTCGCGTCCCAAGATAAAATGGGAGACGGCCAAAAAGCTGCCCTGCCTCCTGCGGGGCCCACCAAGGGCGGCAGGAGGAGTCAGGGAGTGCGCTACGTGAGCGGAAAAGGGGGGCCTGGGCAGTCCCCTGTACCCAGGACGGAGATTTCCCTGGGGCCAGGCTGCGCTCAAACCCGCGTCAGAACTCAAGGAGGGGGTAGGCGCGCCCCGGCGCTGACACCCGCGCGCCCGCGCAGGCTGTCAAGCAGTCAAGGGTCGCGGGAGCCTCTGCAGAAAGCTCGGCTGAACAAGGATGAACAACTTGAGGCCCGAGGTACGTCGGATTCACGTCGGGCATACGTGGGCTCGCGTTTAACTTGCGTCTGAGCCTCGTCCCATATCTTACGCGGCAGGTGTGCGGACTATAGGATCTAACTGTGACGGGCCTCGCGATGTCTCCAGGACATTTCGTTTGTAAAGAAGGGGTGCCCCGCACCACTGCCCACTCCAGGGGCAGCGTGGTGGAACACGCAGCTCTTGTCACTGCTCCAGTCGACTTCGACGTCCCGCCGCCGCAGCCGTGGACGTAGCAGTCGTCCAACGGGGGCAGGAGGGAGGAGGGGGGGACGCTCGAGGGAGGATAGGGGAAGGGGGGGAGGAGGAGGAGGGGGAGGAGGAGGAGGAGGATTACAATGGAGGAGAAGGATGAGGATCGGGAAGGAGAACGAGGACGAACATCAGCAGCAGGAATTGGAGTGGAAGGAGCGGTCAGAGCTGGAGACGAAGCAGGAGGAAGAGCTGGGGGCGACAACGGTGAGGGAGGACCGAGATCCAGACGTGGCCCGCGCTAGGTCGAGAGCGCCATTCTGAACGATGGGAGCAAGGCGCCAATCCTAGACTGAGGCCCACGCTGCAACGAGAACACTAGGAGGAGGAGGAGGAGGAGAAGGAGGAGGAGGAGGAGGATTACAATGGAGGAGAAGGATGAGGATCGGGAAGGAGAACGAGGACGAACATCAGCAGCAGGAATTGGAGTGGAAGGAGCGGTCAGAGCTGGAGACGAAGCAGGAGGAAGAGCTGGGGGCGACAACGGTGAGGGAGGACCGAGATCCAGACGTGGCCCGCGCTAGGTCGAGAGCGCCATTCTGAACGATGGGAGCAAGGCGCCAATCCTAGACTGAGGCCCACGCTGCAACGAGAACACTAGTATTGGAATGCCGAGGACGTTCTGACTTGAAACCAGTCACGTGAACTATCAACTCGCGATATAGTTCACTGTGGAGGTGACGTGACAGCTGTGCGGTGCAAACTGTGGCTCATACCCCTGTCGTGTGGTGTGAGCTGTCGAAGTGAAGGCTGGGCGGCATCAGACATGGTGGGGCAGGCTATCTCGTGGAGGCTCTGCGGTGTGAGTCAGGGGTGGGAACCGTGCGATGTAGGCTGCAGGCCGCAGTGCAAGGTGTATCGTGCACGCTGTACGGTGCAAGCTGTGTGGCGTAAGCATGATCGTGCAGCCGCGGCGATCGAGAATCCCGCGTGGCCAGAGCAGGAGGAGGAGGGAGGAGGGAGGAGGAGGGAGGAGGAGGAAGAGGAGGAGGAGGAGGAGGAGGAGGAGGAGGAGCTGTGATGTGAGCCCACGAGCGCCCACGAGGCGGCACGGGTGGCAGCGCGGCGAAGCCTCTGAAAACTTCTACCCGGCGCCTAGGGCGCCAACGCGGCGCCCACGAGGCGCCGCAGTCGGCAGCGCGGATCGCCCTCGGGGAGGGATTCCACTGTTTGCTTGCACGTCGTGTCGCTCTCCCCGGCGCTCTGCTCTCCCACAGGCCGCGCCCCGTCGGCCCTCCGCCGCCCGGCCCGGGGAGAGAGAGAGAGAGAGCACGACGACGACGACGGAGCCGTGCGCGGAGCGCGGCCGCCGCACGGGGCTCCCACGGGGCGCCCACGAGGCTGCACGGGGAGCGGCCACGTGGCGGAGCCCGCGGGGGCCCACCCAGCGCACAGGGGCGGCCACGGGGCGCCCGCGAGGCGGCACTGGCGGCAACATGGCGAAATCCTGGGGAACCCATGCAGCTTCCTTAAGCAACAAAAGCAGACAACACCCTTACAGTGGGAGCTCGACCACAAGAAATGTTCCACAAGAACCTCAACCCTGGAGCCCCAGGACGTCTATTGATTCTTGGTGCGGGAACGTCACGTCTTCCATCTCAGAGCCCTCAAAGCCCAAGAGACTCAGGGCACCCTGGAGGCAAGCAGGTTGTTTCTTGGCATGGGCTTCCACTACACGTCCAACGCCCCAGCCTGCTCGAGACGCGAAGCAGGGCCCGCGCGCCGCATGGAACCGGGGGCTGGGCGGAACAGCTAGAATTAAGTCGGGCCTGTTCCCTTACAGGCCGATTTTTGGGCGAAACATTGAAACTGGCAAACAAATACTAAACAAACTCAAAAATAATAAAACCATAGTCCCCAGACTATGTTTACCTATTCTTGAAAATTCCCCCTGTAGAAGGACAGGCCCGACTTAAAACTAGAAACACACGGGCAGATGCAAGAACAAGGCGTACCGCCTCCAAGTGTCGGGTGTTGTTAGAAGTGCCCCTGGCCCAAGGTGCCCCCAGTTTGTCGCACTGGTTTTGAGCCCCTGTGCCCTCTGGACCTCGTGAGGGGTGCCCTGGAGGCCGTCTGGGTCATCCCGAGAATCCTGGGGGTACCTTGGGTCAGGGGTACTTGTAGCAACACCCGACAGTGAAGCGACGGCCTGAGCATCAATGCGACGAGGTGCTCCCCCGAATGCTCGAGGGCGGGGGTGGGCATCGGAGTCGGCGCAGGTGAGTCTCTCTGAAAGCGCCCAGAAGCGTCCGAGGAAACACACGGGACACTCCAGAAGAGACCCAAACCAAGCTCGAGAGGGCGGGGAGACCAAAAGGCACCCACAGGGCGCCTCTCCCAGGGTGCGCTCTGACCACCTACCAAACCACCCCAACCCAACCGGAAGACTCGAATTTCGGCTTGGAGGGATTACGGGCTTCATGTGTGTTTCTCAAATGTTCCCCGACCCCCCCCAGCTGGAAATGGAGGGCAAATCGGGGCTTTCGGGTTAGGTTGGGGTGGGGTGGTTTGGTGGGCTTTGACGTTCTGACCAGACTTTCCAGGCAAATGCAGCGGTGGCGACGAAGGCATCCCAGGAGGCTCACAAGGACGGAAACGAGGCCAGGGTAGCGGTATGTGCGTACCTTGTCCTCCTCTCACTCGATGGGGGCGTCTCCTTCTGGGCTGCGTGGTCCCGGTAGTAGCCGAGGCCCCAACTGCCCTTCTTGAAGACAAAGCCTGGCCGGGCTCCTCCGCGCGCGCGCGCGAGGCCGAGGTCGGACCCCTCCCCAGACGAGGTCGTAAGGTTGCGGATGTTAAATCGGGTCCAAGAATCGGATCCAAAATCTGGGAGGGCCTCCTACCTCCCTGCCACCCCCTCATCCCCTCCTCATCCCTCTCCCTCCTACCTCCTCCTCCTCCTCCTCCTCCTCTCCTCCCTCCTCCTCTCCTTCCTCTTCCTCGTTCCTCATCCTCCCAACTGCCCCCCCCCTCCCCTTCTCCTTCTCACACTTCTCCCCCTCCTCACCCATGCGGCAACCGCTCCAGCACCGCAGGATCTCAGAGCTCCCACGAGTCGCCCAGGATCCAGTTTTGCCCCGTTCCTGACCCCGTTCTAGGCCTCGAGGTTTTTGTCTCCCCCCCACTTCCCATATCTTCCAAAATCTCTTGGGAATCGACGATTCATTGTGTCCGTGTGTATGTTTGTTGTTCCCCTCCTGACTCAAGCACGCAGGTTGAAACATCATGGCACGGGACGCCACGGGCAACCGCGGGGCACCAGCAGGGCACCCGCAGGACACTAGGCCTCCTAGATGGGGTCGGAGTAGATGGGGTCGGTGGATCGCGCCGCATCGGCGATACATCGCCGATGCGGCTCGATGCGGAGCCTGATTTTCTCCACGCCGACGTCGCCGATGCGTCGCCGACGTCGGCGATGCATCGTCGGTGCATCGCCGATGCATCGCCGATGCATCGCTGATGAATCGCCGATGTATCGCCGATGCAGCGCGATCCACCGACCCCATCTACTGCGACCCCATCTAGGATGCCTCTACACGGGGGCACTCTCGGGACGCCACGGCGAGACCCCGTCCTGGCCGAAGTTCGAGGCGTGTGCTCGGTTTTGGCCACCCGACCTTCGCGCCTCGCGGCCTGCGCGCCTCGTCGCGCGGCCTGCCCGGGCCCCCGCGCTGCCCCCCGCGGAGAGGGGGGCAGCAGGTCGGGCCCGGGCAGGGGCGCGCGAGCCGCGCGCGCCTGGGCGCCCTCGCGGGCGGCCTCCCTGAAAGACACGTCTGAACATCGATGTTGGTTGCTCGTGTCCCCAGCGGCAGCTGCACTCGGAAGGACCGCGTGGCATCCAAGATGCCTCCCTGGAGCAGATGTGTTCGACAGCGCTTTCGTACAGAACATATGATACGAAAAAAGATACGCTTCAAGCATACATGCGTTTAGGTACACGTTCTTAGTTTCTTAAATACGGGAGGTGTGGTTTCTTCCATGTTTTAGATAAGGGGCCATTTTTCAGAGACGAATAGACGTGTGTAGATCTGTTTAGATACGGTTCAATATGGCGCCCGTCGCTGGAAAACATGTCTACCAACAATGGATACGAATAGATACGGCGCCATGTCTCCTGCGCACGCCCACGATCGATCCTTCTCGCTCCTCGCTCCTCTTGGATCCTCCTCATCCGCCCCCCTCGGTGCTCATCTTCTCTTCTCTTCTTTCGCTACACCCAGAGTGAGGTTCTTGTTCCCCGAACCCTGAGTGGGGTTCTCGTTTCCCTAGAACACCCTCTCCTGTTCCTTCTCCTTCTTCTCCTTTTCCCGCCTCCCTACTATACCATACCAATGCGTACCATATCAATACAGCGCCTACCTACCATACCATACCTACCACGCCACACCTACCGTACCATACCCACCATGCCATACCAAACCTACTATACCAGACCATACTTACCAAATCATGCCATACTATGCCATACCTACCAAACCTACTATACCATACCTCTGCTCCTCCTCCTCGGCTCCTTCTCCTCCTCGTCCTCCGCCTCTCCTCCTCGTCCTCCTCCTCCTGCTCCTCCTCCTCCTCCTACTCTTCCTCCTCCTTCTCCTCCTCCTCCTCCTCTTTGCTCTCCCCATCCTACGGTTCCCTGCTCCTCTCCAATTCTCTCCTAAATTTCGTGTCGTCGTTGTTATCCATCCTGCTCCTCGTCGTTGTTGTCGTCGTCGCTCGTCTCCTCACTCCTCATCGCTACGGCATCCCACTATCCTCATCCCGTTGTTCATTGCTTCGACCAATATCATGGGTCTTGTTCGTGCCGGAAGCACAACCAACTGCAACCTTTTCTGGAAACATTTTCGGCGCGGCACTGCCATTCTTTGAACAATAGATACGGCTATACAGGCTTTCTGGAAGAAAGATAGATGCGGTCCCACAGTTTTAGGCATGCTTGAACAATAAATACGTTTAGATACAGCGGCGCTCCCGCGCAGGCCGGGGGCGCGCATCTAAATACAGTATCTATATATTGTCGTCGTTGCAGAAAAATAAATACGATGGGCTTCTCGCCTGCGCCAGGGCGCGATAGCATTTAAACGCATCTAGTATTCTTAGATACGTCTTGCAGGGCTGCCTCTGGACGGCCCTGGGCCATTTTGGGCGCGTCCGGGGGGGGGGGCTTCCGCTCGCCGAAGGCCAGGTTCCCGCTCGAAGGGCTGGCCAAGGCTCATCTCGCGAGAGTGCGGGGGCCCGAGCAGGCTGGGGTCGCGGACCCAGCCTGCTCGCGTCGTGGGCAAAAACCACGGCAGAGAGGGCTTGGCATTTTTCGGCCCGAGGCTGTCAACGAAGCGGGTCAGGACGGAATGCCCGCGCCTGGAAGAGGTCGAGACCTCCTGGGATCTGCCGGGGGCCTCGGCCACGCTGCGAGACCGTGACGAAATCGGGGGCCTGGGGGCTATGACGGGCTTCCGTCACCAAGATGTCGGCGTTGGTTTCTAACACCGCGTGGAAATTTCGACCTTGCGCGAATGCGGGTTCTGATAGCGCCGGTCCTTTGAGACTCGCTGATTGCAAGCCACTCGCGCCATTGAACCCTTAATGCCCGCGCCAGACATCGCCGCGTCATTGCGGCGCGAACCTACGTACCGTATGGCCGTTTGGCGCGCAGAAACGTCCAAAGCGACAGCGACGTCGTCGACCTCATACTGGAGTCGGGTCGCCCTCTTCCCTCTGTGCTGCGTTGCACCCCACCGCGCTCACTTACTTTTCCTCCCCCATATCTCTTCTCTCAGAGCCCCGAATCATCAGGGGTAGCTCGGGTCAGGGCTAACTCGGGTTCGATTTTGCGGGGATCCAAACACGAGTTACCCCCGGCCCGAGTTACCCCGGGTAATTCGGGCGCCCAGGGCCCCAAATCATCAGGGGCAACTCAGGTCAGGGCTAACTCGGGTTCGTTTTTGCGGGGATCCAAACCCGAGCCTGGCATCGCACGGACGTCCATTCCCTGTGTTTGTTTCGGTTTCGTCCGTGTTTGTTTCGCGAAATGATCAAGGATGTTCCTCGATGGTCCTCGCCGAAGGAAACATGCACACGTCCGAGCGATGCCAAGCGAGTTACCCCGGACCCGAGTTACCCCAGATAACTCGGGCGCCCAATTCTCCTCATCCAGCCTCCGCTCTCCGCATGTCGACCTCGGCACACCCTCTCACCCCTCGGCACACCCCCGGGAACGGAAACCTCGACCCGGCGGCCAGGCCCGGGCCGAAAGCCAACCCAGCTGCTGGTCCACAGCCGCCGAGGCATGAAACCATGTCTAGTGGGCTTGTCTCCACTGCCTCTACAAGAAGTAGGGGGGAGGGGGTCCTCCTCCTCCTCCTCCTGCTCCTGCTCCTGCTCCTCCTCCTCCTCCTCTTCTTCTACCTTCCCCTTTCTTATCCTCCTCGTCCTCCACCTCCTCTCCCCCTCCAACTTCTGGTGGTGGTGGTGGTGGAATACCAGCCCATCGATGTCGGCAGCAGCCGGAGGAGAGGAGGAACCCCGCGTGGCAGGGCCTCGGCCGCGGCCTCCCGAGGGGGAGGGGACGGCCCAAGGACGCCGCCCTTCTCGACGCCCTCCGGGCCGCGGCGTGCAGACTCAGACAGAAACCATACGCGAGGCTCCGCCGCCTGCGGGTGGCAGCCCCCGCCGCCCAGCACCGGGGACGAGCTGCGTCGAGCCCTCGGGGAGCGCGCCCCGCCACCGATAGCCGCGCTCCTCGGGAGAGGAGAGCCGCGTCCATCCCGAGCGGGGGGCCGCGAGGTGGGGCGGGGAGCGGGTCCTGCGGGGCGGAGGACGGGGAGGGAGCAGGGGGGGGGGGCTCCTGAGAACGACTCGGCGGCCTGGAATTCGGAGGACTCCGCCTCCCGCCGCCTCCTGATCTCGGCCAGGAACGCCGCGTGGAACGCGTCGTCGTCCTGGCGGTCGCCAGGGGAGAGGGCGGCGCCATCCGGAGGTGGGATGATAGAGGGGGGAAGATGCTTCTGGGGAGGTGGTGGTGTGTCAGTGTGTATGTGTGTAAGTGTGCGTCTGTGAGAGAGAGAGTGAGAGAGACTGTGTGTGTATGTGCGCGTGGAAGTGAAATTGTGCAAGTGTGTGTGTGTGTGGCTGGAAGTGTATGTAGGTGTAAGTGTGTGTGTGTGTGTGAATGTGTGTGTGTGTGTCGACGTTCTACGCCTCGTCCCCGCGCGCAGGGCCGCGTCGCCAAAAAAGTGTGCATGTGTGTGGGTGTGAGTGTGTGTAGATGTGTGCAAGTGTGTGTAAGTGTAAATGTGTGTAGATGCGAGTGTGTGTGTGTGTGTGTCAATGTAAGTGTGTGTGTGTGTGATGCCGCTGCTAGCACTCGACGTTATACTGTTCGTGTGAGTGGGTGTGTGTCCGTGTGTTCCCGCTGCTTGCACCCGACGTTCTACGCCTCGTCGCCGCGCGCAGGGCCGCGTCGCCGGAAAAGTGTGTGTGTGTGTGTGTGTGTGTGTGTGCGTGTGTGTGTGTGCATGTGCGTGTCTGCCTGCTGGCTCTCCCCTCGACTCATGCCCCTTCTCTTGGCGGCCTGCCGCAGCAGCCGCCCGCCTCTTGCCCGCCCTCGTAGCACGCGCCCCTGAGCGGGTCTCACACGACGACCCTGTACGCACCCAACCTCCGAACGTTCTCCGCATGTCTCTGTCTCACGTGCACCCTTCAACAAATGTACCTGAACCCGCCGCCCGCTTGTCGGTTGGCCCCCCATCGGCGCACATTCCATGGTAATCACTCTTAGCTCTTAGCGCGTCCCGCTATTGCCCCCGACGTGTTGGACCAAGCGGCCGCGCAACTGAACAGAATGTGTGTGTGTGTGTGTGTGTGTGTGTGTGTGTGTGTGCCGGGGCCCGCCCCCCCCGACGCCGCTCCCCGCCGTCGCCCGGCCCCGCTCCGGGCGGGCCCGGCGTCCTCCCCCCGCCCGCCGTCGCCGGGCGCTCCTCCTCTTCCCCCCGTGCACCGCGGCTTCATTCGCCACTGTTCGTCGAAGCATCTGCTCTTCCGCCAGCGCGGTCCCTCTGCCCAGCCGCCGGCGCAAGAGTGCGTGCGCGCGTCATCTCCGCTCGGCGGTCGATTCAGCGCCACTTCGCCGGGGTCTCCGTTGCGGTCTCGCTCCCACAAGTGGCGAGCACATGCTGACCGCATCCCGCCCGTTCAACTCGCGGACCACAGAGTGTACCCCTCGTTGCGGCGAAGGGAAGCGCGTGTACGCACGCGTGAATGTGTGTATGTGTGTCTGTGTGTTCACGTGTGTGCGTGTGTGTGTGTGCGTGTGTGTGTGTGCGTGTGTGTGTGTGTGTGTTCACGTGTGTGTGCGTGTGTGTGTGTCTTGTGTGTGTTTGAGTGACGTCCCCTCAAGCCCCATCTGGGAGGCCTCCTCCTCCTCCTCCTCTCAGGGGCGCAAAAAAAACCCTGAACACAAGAGCTGACCAACCGCTTTCCGACGTGCTCTGTTCGCGACGCGTGGAGGTCCGGTCCTCCTCACCGCCCCCCAGGAGCTCCTGCTGAAGTCATGATGCAGCCCTGGACGCGCGGACGATGGCCCGACCACATCGGCTCTCTCTGCCCTCCCTCTCTCTCTCTCTCACTCCCTCTTTCTCTTGCTCTCGCTCTTCCCCCATCTCTCTGGACTCTCTCTCTCGTTCTCTCCCTTTTCCTATCACTCGCTCTCTCGCTCTCGCGCTCTCTCTCTCTCTCTTTCTTTCCCCCTCTCACTCCCTTTGCAAGTATACGCATGGGTTTTGTGTATTATTTTCTCTCTCTCTCTCTCTTGCTCTTTCTCTACGTCTTTCTCTCTCTCTCTCTCTCTTTCTCTCGCTCTTCCCCCATCTCTCTGGACTCTCTCTCGTTCTCTCCCTGTTTCTCTCACTCGCTCTCTCGCTCTCGCGCTCTCTCTCTCTCTCTCTCTTTCTCTCCACCTCTCACTCTCTTTGCACATATACACGATGTGTTGTTATGTTTGTTTGTGTTTTCTCTCTCTCTCTCTCTCTCTGGTGGTACGCAGGATGATAAAGAGAGAAGGGGGAGGATGGGGGGAGGTGGAGGAGGGGAGGAGGAGGAGGAGGAGGAGAGAAGGAGGAAAAGGAGGAGGAGGAGGAGGAGGAGGAGGAGGAGGAGGGGGAGGAGGAGGAGGGGAGGAGGGGAGGGGGAGGAGAGGAGGAGGAGGAGGGAGTGGCCCGCGCTCCTCGCTGCCTCGCCTTTCCAGGGGCGCCTGTGGCGCGTTGGCGCCTCGCGGGCACGGGAGGGCCCCACACTCCTCTCCTGCTGCTGCCCCTGCTTGCTCCATCCTCCCCCCCCCCCCTCCGCCGCGACCAGCCCCTGCGTGGGCCCCGCGGGTGCGGGAAGAGGCTGAGAAGGAGGAGGAGGAGGAGGAGGAGGAGGAGGAGGGAGAGGAGGAGAGGAGGAGGAGGAGCGGAAAGGAGGGCGAGGAGGCCAAGCGAGCTCTCCTCCCTCAGGCCCCGCCGTGTGCACCTGCTACTCCTGGACTCTTCCCCCTCCTCCTGTGCGCCCCCTCCTCCTCCTCCTCCTCCTCCTCCTCCTCCTCCTCCTCCTCCTCCTGTCCTGTTCAAAAACGAGGAGGAACTGCTGTCGGTCTTCATACCCATTCTTTCCGCGCGGCGGGTTCGTGTCGTGCCAACGTCGGCGTTGGTTCCTGACACCGCGGGGCTCGTTCAACCTCCAACCATCGGCCGTTTTCGAAGCATCCGATCGTTTCACAGCATCGACCAGTTCTGGGTCGTCGATGGTGCCTAGATGAAGGGGCCCCAGGACACACAAATAAATACACACAAATAAAACAATTCCCTATCTTTTCGTGTGTGTGTGTATGTATATGGGGTTTTTGTCTTCCCCCCCACTTCCCATAGGTTTGCATATTTTCCTGAGAATCGGCGATTCATTGTGTCTGTGTGTTTTTTCTCCTCCTGACTAGTGTTGTACCGGTGGCGGGGTCGCTGTTGGCCGACACGACGCGAACCTGCCGTACCCGCGTCGACCGTCCGAAGACATGTTCCGTGCGCGCCGTTCTGTTGACGGCCCCGGACGGCCCCGAGGCCCCGCACCAGCCTCCGGAGGCTCGAGGGGAGGGAGGAGGGAGCAGGGAGCAGGGAGGAGGGAGGAGGGAGGAGGGAGGAGCGGAGGGAGGGAGGGGGGGGGAGGGGGGGGGGGGGGGGAGGGGGAGGAGGGGGGGAGGGAGGGAAGGAGGGAGGGAGGGAGGGAGGGCACTCTTCGCGGCCGTCCTCCGCCTGGGCCACCCCGCCGGGGGCTCCACGACCTCTGCCGCCCCTCGACTTGCGGCTGATCGAGCCTCCACGACTTCTCCCGGACACGTCTGGACACGCCCGGGTCGGGCGAAAGGGGGGGATAGCAAAGGGGGGGTTTGAGAATCAGCTCGCGTAGCTGACTTTCCCGGCGCCTCCCGGCGCCGGGAAGCGGCTATGTATCGAGGAATGGGCCCCTCGGTGGGGCCGAAACCAGCTGCATGCAGCAGACAGATTTCGTACCCCCCCCCTTTCCTATCCCACCCTTTCGTCCGGCCCGAATGTCGCCCTGCGTCGATGTGCCTCGACTTTTTCCGGGCCTGACCCCCGCAGTTCGATTGAACAAGAATCGTCGAGCCTTATGTTGTTCCCATCCTACTTAAGGACCACGTCCCAGAACAAAAAAATCTAGTACCCAGAAAAATGTCAAAACAGTGTCGAAACAGTGTCGGGCGAGTGTCTCCCAGGGCCCGACACGTGAAAATCCTGAAGTTTCGGTACTTTTTGGCGCTCGAAATTATTTCTGGTGATCAGGGCTAAAGTAGGTTGGAGCATCATAAGTCGAGCCCTCAGGGATGAGGGACAACGATGGGGGGGACAAGCTCGGGCCGATGCATCCCGCCCTGGGCCCATCCCCCCCGAGCGTCGCCCGTTGCTTGTCGGGCCATGACTCGGCTCCCCGGCGGCCGCTCGGACGATCCAGGCGCCCCCAGAGCACCCGGGCGAAGCGCAACGCGGCAACGCACTCCGAGGCAGGAAACACCGTCGGGAACGGACGAGAAGATCCGAAAACTTCAATACCTGAGCTCCGACGTTGCGGAGAAGATGCGGCATCGCATGAATCATCACGACCGGAGCCCTAGACCCCATCCTTTCTGCTGCATTCTTCGAGCTGCATCGATCCTGTAGTGGTCCTGGGGCCCGAGATCGAGCGAAACCGTCCTGTGTGAAAAAATGCAATGCCCAGATCTCAAAGAATCCTGAGACGATCCCACTCACTAGGGAGCCGCAAAAGAACGCACGCACCCACCGAAGTACGATCATGAGTAAAAAACCCGCGAGCGGGCCATGCAATCCGATAATGCAAGGGAACTATGATCGGATATGTTTGCATTGCATTGTCGTGACTGCCATCCCTCCACCCAGCCTCCTACTCGAGCTATCCTCCTCCTGTTGGGTCCTCCTCCTCCTCCTCCTCCTACTCCTCCTCCTCCTCCTCCTCCTCCTCCTCCCCTTAAACTCCCTTCTTCCCCGTGGGCCACAAACAACCTCAGTGTTGGAGGTATTGAAGTTACGCGGGGGTACTCTCGAACCTTTTCTGCCCCCGCCCCCCATGGTCCTTAACGCATGATCCTCGCATGATGTATGTGCAAACTGTGTTGCACAACCCATGCGGTGGCAACGACTTGTCTCCAGAGACACGGAACTTTACGCCCTCTTGTAGCTCGATTGGGGCCGCCCGAGGCCCTCCTGGGTCGTCTTTGGGGCCAAGGGAAAGCCCCAAGAAGCCCCGAGTGGGCCTAAGAGGACCCGCAATGGGGCCCCCTGCGATATCATACCACTGGCTCTTGGCATGATATTGGTGGCGGTCCTCTTGAGCCCCATCTTGGGAACGCTCCAGGGCACCTCTCGAAGCTCTCCCGGGGTTGCCTTGGGGGCCTCGCGGGCAAAGCCTGGGGCCCGCGGGAGAGGCCCCTCAGAAAGCCCCCGAAGTGGCCCTAACGATCTCACACCAGGGGCTCTTGGTATGATGTCGTTGTGGGCCCTTCTGGGCCCATCTTTGATGGGCTTTGTGTGTGTAAGTCGGGCATGTCCCCTACATGTGGATTTTGGACGAAAAGTCAAACATACTCAAACATACCCCCAAAGAATCAACCGATGACAAAACATAGTCCCCAGACTACGGTTGAATTTGTTTTGATATTCCTCCTGTAGAGGGACAGGCCCGACTTAAGCTTTGTGAACAGTGGTTGAAGATCTTTTGGGGATACCTGGGCCCCCCCGCGCCGTTTCTGAGGGAGCCCCAGGAAGGCCCAAGGGGGGCCCAGCACGGCTCCCAAGAGGTTCCCCCAGCGATAGCATGCCAGGGGATCTTGGAACGACAATGTTTGGCGGCTGAGAAGGAGAAGGCCATCTCAGAGGGCGGCGGGACTTCTCAGGAGCCCTCGCGCCTTCTGAGAAGTTGTTCTGTCTTCGTGGGAAGCTTCGAGAACTTCTCAGAGAGGCCGGGGGACTTCCGAGCAACCTGAGAAGGCCCTGAGAAGGCCCGCCCCTTCTCACTTCCCCCCCTCGGTCGCCGCCGAAGTATAACTGGCGGGCCCTGTTTGAGCCCATCACAGGAACCCTTTTGGGCCCCTCTTGGACCTCTCCTTGGACTGTCCAGGGCCCCATTGGGCAGTCTTCGGGGCCAATTGAACATCCCAAGAAGGCCCAAAGGGCTGGAAGAGGGCCCTTAAAGGCGGCCCAAAACGATATCGTACGACCAGCTGTTGGTATTATATCGTTGGAGGTCAAGTTGGGCCTCTCTTGAGGACTCTTTGAGGCCCCTCTTGGAGCTGTCGTGAGGCTGTCTGGGGTCCTGTGGCGCCGTCTTTGGGTTCGGGCGTTTCCTGGGCGAACATGGAGGAACTCGTCAGCTCGTCGGTCACCTATTCCCCCCGCGGCAGATTCATGTACACAACTAACGAGCAACCAGGGAATGTACATGAATTTCTTCGGGACTGCCAGGGGAAGAAGCATACAAATATCACATATTACCTGCTTGTGCTATCACGCCCTCACAGGAATCCACCCCGAACGGACTGAGGCATGTATAAACAAAACGGACGCGTCCGAAACCAAAATCCCCGCCGCACCCGCCAGCACACGAAGCGCCAAAGAGGGGCCCACCAGGCGAAAACCCGGTGTACCCAGCCAATGCACGGGGCGCCCAAAAAGGCGCCCTCGGGCGCCCACCAGACGGAAACCCGGCGCACCCATCCAGTGCACGGGGCGCCGACGAGGCGCCCTCAGGCGCCCAACAGGCGAAAACCCGCCGTACCCATTCCACCGCCAGTCTCCCTCTCCCTCGTTCACTCTTGATCCGGGCAAGCACGGCCAAACCTCCCCGCTGGCTCTTGCCCAGCGCCTGTCTTGCCTCCAGTATCCGACCTCCGCCCCCATCCACCCTTGATCCTCCCCACCTTTTTGACATCACCCCCCCCTCACTCGTCCAGCCTTCGCGCATCCGCCTCCCCCCACCTACATCGTCATCTTTCTCCTTTTCCTGGTCCTTCTCGCTGGACCGACCCTCTCTCCGCATTCTCTTCGGCCCCCCTCCTCGTCAGCCTCCGCCCTGGTCTGCGCGAACCATCGCCCAACAGCTGTTCGACCTCCTCCTCCTCCTCCTCCTCCTCCTCCTCCCTCCTCCTCCTCCTCCTCCTCCTCCTCCTCCTCCTGTGCTTTCCGATCGTGCCTCTTTGTCCTCATCCTCCACCTCTTTCTTCTGCTCCTCTGACTGATGTCTCTCCGACCCTCCGCCGCCTCCTCCCCACTGCTCAGGGAACGCGCTGGCGGGCTGGCCAACCTACATTCAACAGGTGATGTATCGTCGGCGGCGGTCCCTCCCACGTGCCTGCCCCCCGCACGTCGTCCGAACGTTCCGCCCATGAGAAGTCAGAGCGTAATAGTATCAGAGGGCGCTTCGTGGGGGCTGAAGAGCGAAGGCATTGATATGAATCAAATTTCAAACTGTTACTAAAACGATGGTGAAACAAAAGCGCCCTGTAGCGGGAAGATAACCTGGGAGAGAGCAGAAACAGGAGAGACGCGCTGGAACGGTGGCTTCCAGACAACTCCGCCGACCCAGTCGGCGTGTGTCTGAGGCCCTTCGACGCGAGGCCAGCCCAACCCAAAGTGAAGTACGCCAGCCTCCTTTGAATCGTTGTCGTCGCAAGGGAGATCGAACAAACCAGGGGGATCGAACACTGT